ATTTCAAAAGAGATAGAGAACATCTTAATTCATTAATTTTTTAAATTTTATTTCTTAGGCTGCAGGCAACAGCAACTAGTAGTGGGAGAAATGGTCCATGAGATCCCAGGGAAACCAAAGAAAAGACAGAGATTTAAAAACTTGCCCTTTACCAAAAGGCTAATCCAACAGAAAGTTGGCTCTGATTATTCTTTCTCTGCAGGACTCATTACAGAAATGACATCTAGAGCAGGGTGGCAAATACAGAACCGTGTGGCGTTACCCCCTGCTCCTGCTCCCATGGCAGATATTGCTAATAGATACATCACTCTTTCACTCTGAGTCTGCATGTGGCCTCACCATCCTGCTTAACAGTGTGCTCCAGAGAGCCACCACCAATGGCCAATGAGATAGAATTTGTCCTCCTCACCCTAGGGAATAATTGGAGAGAAGACCCTATAGAAGGCTTGAGAATTCTGGTTGTCAAGAGTCAGGTCCCACACAGCCCATCACGAAAGGTGACACTGACCTGGTTAGACCAAGACTGTTCTTTCCACAGGCTGCTCCAGACATGGCGATAGCAACACCATAGAGTTTCACTTCTTCTTCACACCTGGCTTCAGGCAACAAATGATGATGGGGTTCTTCATACCTGTTCTTGCCCAAAGGGCCTTCAGCAAGATCCTTCCCCAAAAAGAAGTCCTGGGGGGGGGGGCTCCCCCTGCCTGGGGGTGAAAGACATCTGTAGGACCTCAGGCTCTGCTTGGCATGCTTCTTATCCACCAGACCTGGGGGTCTTGGAATGGAATGTAGCACAGGAAGAGAGTGATGGAAAAACCCCTTTTTAGTCCATTCAACTCACATTACCACACATTCAGATGCTTCTAAGCTTTTCCTTTTTATCACGTTTCTATTCTTTCACAAAAAGAGGTACATTTGTCCATATCCACCCAAGGAAATTTCCCCATGTCCTCCACAGCTGCATTAGGCTTTTTGTTGCCGGGAAAATGTCCACCTACCCTTTTAGGGTGCTAACTTACATCCTTAAAGATGGTCCTCTTTGAGTGACTGGGGAGAATAGGCCAACAGAGAAGCAGATGCAGGTGTCAGGGTTGAAAGGGGAGTGGGAACAGAAGCGGCAACTTTGACTTAAGTTATGAACAAAGAATATTTTCCTCCCCTGACCTGTTTTCTGTCAACGTCCCATATGACCTGTTTATGGAGATGGGCTAATTAGAGCAGCAGAGGGCGCTGCAAGGTCAAAAACAAAGCTGCCCACCTCAGAGGAAACTGGGAGAACGGGTCTTTTCTGAGTGATAGCAGTGACCAAGAGCCAAGCTGTGGGACAAGAATGGCCTTGTTTACCAAATCCCGCCAGCGATCCCACCAGGTCTGAGGGCCCCTCTTGAGTGGTGGTTTCAGGCTAATGAAAGGCAGCCCAGGGTACTCAGTGCCTTGGGGAGTTACTCTGCAGGTATCAATAAGGTTTAAGGGGGATGCAAAAGAGAAATTCAAGGGCGATAAGTCTGTAATAGCTCATTAGATCTTGAGAGTCTCTTGTATCCTGAAACTTTGAGAGTCACTTGATTGTACCCAGTTGCACACTGTGGTCTCTCATGAATAAGCCTAATGCAATTTTTGGAAACCATATGAGCAGGGTAAGGAGGCCCATTTCTCATGCTTCCACTGCTCTTAGGGACTTGGGAAGAGCACAGCTGGCTCAGGTGTCAGGAGAGTGCAGTGCTCTATGACATGCTTGCAAAATTGACAGAAAATTACATATGTGGGTCACTTTTTGACTTTTTGGGGGGGGCATTAATTGGTACATGTCTTTTGCCAGATTTCGCAACTTTATATTTTTATTTTTTTTAAGTTTATTTAAATATTGTGAGAGAATCAGAGAGAGTGCGAGTGGGAGAGGGGCAGAGAGAGAGAGGAGACAGAGAATCCCAAGCAGGCTCTGTGCTGCCAGTGCAGAGCCTGACCTGGGGATTGAACTCATGAAACTGTGAGATCATGACCTGAGCCAAAACCAAGTGTTGGGTGCTTAACCGACTGACCTACCCAGGTGTCCCACAACTTTATATTTTTACATCTTTTCTCTAAATATCTGTGATGGGAATAAAACTCTCAGGACTATATTCATTAGTCTATTTAGTAAAAATTCTAAGAGCAACAGCAAACACTAATATTCCCAGATCATTTGCTTGTGTCTTGCGTATGTTATTTCCTTTAATTTTCCAGTGGAGCTGTGAAAAAGTTATTATTGTTATCTCTGTTTTACAGATGGAGGAATTGAGGCTTGGAATAATCAGGTCATGCTTAAGGTCATACAGCAAATAAATGCTAGAGCTGATATGAACCTAGGCATCTGGCTCCAGAGCCCCATTTTTCTTTTTCTCATTAAAAATGAAAAAATTTTGGGGCTCCCAGGTGGCCCAGTCAGCTAAGTGTCTGACTTTGGCTCAGGTCATAATCTCATGGTTTGTGAGTTCAAGCCCCACATCGGGCTCTCTGCTGTCAGCGTGGAGCCTGCTTGGATTCTCTCTTTCACACACACTCTCTCTCTGCCCCTCTCCTGCTCACACTCTCCCTCTCTTTCAAGGGTAAATAAACACTAATTTTTTTTCCAGCTTTGTTGAGATATAAATGACATAACATTGTATAAGTTTCAGGTGTGCCACTTTTGATTTGATGTGCTTATATATTGCAAAATGGTTACCACCATAGCGTTAGCTGATACCTGTATCAGATGACATAATTACCAATTCTTTCTTTCTTTCTTTCTTTCTTTCTTTCTTTCTTTCTTTCTTTCTTTTTTGTGGTAAGAATATTTAGGATCTACTTCCTTAGCAACTTTGGAGTATATGATACAGTATTATCAACTATAATCACTATGCTGAACATTAAATTCTCAGAACTTGTTAGTCTTCTAACTGGTTGTTTGTACCCTTTGGCCAACATCTTTCCTTTTCTGCCACCCCAGCCCCTGGTGACCACCATGCTACTCTCTTCCTGTGGCAGAACCTCATTCTTTGTCATGACACCGCACTGCTGTTCTGAGAAGTGCCCTTCCTGAAGGGATGCCTTTCAAGGAATGTTGGAAGGACACCCTGGTGGGGAGAGTCATGATTGTGTCACCCTGAGGAGTTCTCAGTGTCTGAACTTTCTGTGTGAAGGGGGAGGGTGTCTCCCTCTGTGTGAGGGTATCTGAAGCCTTCTTTGTTCTTGATGTGGTCACATGTAACTGAGGGTGTGCAGTCAGAAGAGAAGGAGCAGTTTGATTTCAAAATTACTCCCTAGGGACGCCTGGGTGGCTCAGTTGGTTAAGCGTCTGACTCTTGATTTTGGCTCAGGTGTTGTGAGATTGAACCCTGTATCCGGCTCAGCATGGAGCACAGAGATTGCTTGGGACTCTCTCCAGCCCCCTCCCCCGCCCCTCCCCTACTCGTTCTCTCTCTCTCTGTCTCTCTCAATAAATAAAAAAACTTAAAAAAAAATTGCTACTGCCTAAATTAGGAAGGGAACGCTCAGCTCTCTTATAAATATCAAGGCTGCTGACACCTTTAGAGCAGGGACAGACACCAGAAGCTGGGTGGGGACTGGCAGAGCTCCTGGATGTTGAAAATCTGGAAGCTCTGAGACAATCTTTTGCCAGCAGAGGGCTGTGTTCCCGTGAAGGGGACCCCCGCCAGCAGGCGGCAGTGCAGGCCCCCGTAGCCTGGTCACTGAACCATCCTCTCCCAGGTCCAGGGGCCTGGGGATGCTCATGGGCGGACTTTGGACGGCCTGGTGTTCACTTTTGGTATTCTCCATGCCTACAGTAGCCTACGATAAAACACAGGATTCCCAGTGAAATTTGAATTTCAGATAAACATGTATACTTTTTTTTTTTTAGTGTAAATGCACTCTAAATATTACTAAAAATTTTTTGCTGTTCTTTTGAAGTATGAACTTAACTGGGTGTCCTGTATTTTTACTTGCCAAATCCAGCAAACGTAGCCATGTCAATGGTGAGTTTTTGAGTGAAGAAAGTTGCATTCCTTTATTCCACAAATATTTATGGATTGTCAGTTATGTAGCAGCCACAACCCTAGGCGCTGGGGGTATATCCATGAACAGATAAACAAGGTCTTTGCCTTCATGGAACTGGCATTATGGTGTGTGTGTGTGTGTGTGTGTGTGTGTGTGTGTGTGTGTCAGGGGGCTGAGGTGGGACAGGGGCTGAGGTGGGACAAGAGGCAGCTGCCAGACCATTTGCAGGGTATTATTACAGGCCCAGGAAAGGAGGTCCAGCTGCCATAATCTGATTTATATTACATAAAGATCTGGGAAAGGGATTGTCCAGGAACAAGAACAGAAGTAAGAGGACAGTTAGGGGGTTACTGCAGTGGTTCTGACAAGAGATGGTAGTGTTTGCAGGAGCTGCTGGTGGTGGAGATGGACAGGGTGGACATTTATTTCATAGCAGAATGAACAGCACTCACCGATGAGTTCGACGTAGGGAAGGGAAAAAAGGAACTCCTACAGACACTCCTGGGTTTGGGGGAGTGAGGTACTCAGTCTCGTCTTTCTCAGGGCCATACACCCTGCTGTTGCCATGTTCCTGGCTTACACACAAAATGGTATTTGTCTTGCATGTGACTGGAAGGGCCCGTCCCAGGGGCTCCAGCCACCATGGCTCCAGTGGCCACACCGAGCACTCGCCCAGCAAGCTTGTAACCCACTCACAGCAGTATTCCCCCATGGAAAGCTCTGCTGCGGGGGAGAATTTTCCAGCTGGAGCCAAGCGTGTGCTGCAAAGGGCCTACTGAGAGATGGAAAGTCACACTCTATGATATGCAGCAAGCACTCTCAAGGGCAAGGTATGCCCCGAGCATTAGAAATAGAAGATTTCTAGAATTCAAGGCTAGGAGAGATTTTAGAATCCATCTTGTTCAACCATCTTCCCTCCCTCTTTACATGGAGGAGTAAGAGACGAGTCAAAGGTACTCATTCCTTTATGCCATTTATTGAGTATGAGTGCAGCTGACCTTGGGCTGGACACCGGTCTGTGTGTGGTCCAAGGATCCGGGAATGGAGGGTAAGCCTCTTGTACAGCACCTGGGTCGTTGGGCTTGCAGTTTCTATTTCTCTCTCTCTCTTTATTTATTTTTTTAAAGTAATTCATCTTCATTGTGTTTTACAAAAGGATTAGTTCAAGATGGATTGAGGACCAAAATAACAATAACAACAATAATTTCTTGGCTGGAAGCATTTGCCTCCTAGAGTTACAGCTCATTCAGCCACATGACTGTCAGGGCTGCCTGCCTGCTCCAATTCCCTCCCACTTCCTCCCGTCAGAGGCCCCGAGATGGTCTTAGAGACCTCAGGAACCCATTTTATTCTCCAGCCCTGATAGGAAGATGACTCTCCTTCTGGGCGTTAGCCTTTTGCTTTTCTGTGGGTACACTCACTCGTGTACATTCCCTTTGTCCTACCACCCCGTTTTCCTTTCTCTGACTTTAAACGCATGGCCTGTTTCTCTCTGCGCCTGGTTTTCCAGTCATTCTCCACCTTTGACTTTCATCTCTGTGTCCTTCTCCTGCCTCTGCCCGTTGAGTGCCCTCTGGGAGGGACTGTGTGGGACCCGGTGCCTATGGGGTGCGGAACTTGACCGTTTTCTATTTTTATCTCTTCACAGACCGAGGCGTGCTGTGTGACCAAGTGACCCAGAGCCCCCCGTACCAGACAGTGGCAAGCGGCAGTAAGGTGACACTGTTCTGCACTTACCACACAACATACTCAAACCCGGATTTATACTGGTACCGAATAAGGCCAGATCGTTCCTTTCAGTTTATCCTCTACAGGGATAACACTCGATCCAAAGATGCAGATTTTACTCAGGGTCGTTTTTGGGTGTGGCACAGTCAGTCCCAGAAGACCTTCCACTTGGTGATCTCGGTGGAGCCTGAGGACAGTGCCACATACTACTGCGCCATCTATCCCCACAGTGTCGCAGGTGCCCAGGAGGTCTGAACATAAACCCCCAGCACAGCCTGGTGTAGCTCCCTTGGATCCTTCTTCCCAGCTATTTTGTGTTCCAGCCTGGCCTTTGGAGGTGCCCTGACATGTCTGCTGAATAATACAGGGCAGCTCACATCCAGGAGAGCACCCTGGCTTCAGATGGAGCAGAGCACCTCCCTACCTTCTGAATCAGTGGGCTGTTGCGGTGGGAGAGTGGGAGAGGTATGTCTGGGGAATTCTCATCTTCGTGTCCCCAGTGCCCTGGTCACTCACGCCTGATACGGGGGCCTGTTGCGTATGTACTCTGAGGACTATGAAGATACCAGAATGGCCAAGGTACCATTCGGGAGTGTTTTTATTTTAGTCTCCATCATTTATCCATTATTGTGAATTGGTCTGTTTTCCTTTTAAGATTCAAAGTAGACACAAAGTTACTTACTTCAAAATTTTCCCCCCAGTTCACCTTTTCCCTGCTTCTTCTTGCACAGCCACCTTATTTTTCTTGAATGCTCTTTGACACTGCCATTTCACTTACTTTATTTGGAGAACATTTTTCTTCCACAGAGGAGCATTGAGATACTCCGAAAAAGCTGTTGGTGATCCCTAGAACCCCAGCATCAAGTCCCTGCGTTTGGAGCTCTTTGGTGTCTCCAAGGAAGATGATCATCTCCAGGAGAATCCAACTGTGTGATGTCAAAATAGATACACCCTGAGCCCTGGGAATTTTTTTTCCCGTTGAATTCTTTGCCTTAAAACAACTATTCATTATGAGATATAACCTTGAAGAGAGTAGAAGCCCAGGCTATGATTTTATAGGGAAAACACTAGAGTGCAGAGAAGGGAGGGACCTTCATTCCCAAGGTCAGAGAGCTGGGTAATAATAGAGCTCACGTGTGTTGCTGCGCTTTTAGGGCTCTCCCTGGCAGCTTCATCAGTAGGTGCTCTGGCAGCAGTTTATCTGGGCTTCAAAACAGGTGGGTGAAGAGCAGTCACTAGAGAGAGGAATGTACAGAACACGGGTGAGGGAGCCAAAGGCTTTGGGCAAATGCCTCC